CATATGACTCAGTCCCGATCTGTCTTGTCTTGAAGTCAGAACAGCATGTTCACTTATTCAAACTTGCTCATGTGTCAACCCCAATTCTTAGATTATGAACTTTTTGCCATATTACTATTGCCTTATTACTGTTGATTTGCCTTATATATATATTGTTTGTTAGCATTATATTAGTTTTTGTCCTGCTCTTTTCTTTTTCTTCTTGTTCTGTTCGTTGGGCAGTTCTGCCATTTATTTACACTTGAAAATGGCCACACACTTTACAAAACCTTACATGTTTTCATAAAGACACCTGATATAACAAAAATCACAAGCATGCTAGTCTAAGGGATCATTACTAGAAGAGAAAGTATAACTTGCTGAATGTCACACAATTATAACCTTGTACCATTTCATATCTATATTTGCGTATCATAGATCTACCTATAAGCCACCAAACTTGATTCTTTATTTAATGGTGGATATCATGCATAGAGCAAAACTTGTTCAAAATTATCTAAACTATCAGCTGTATACAATAGTTTTCTCTGATCAATGAATAAAAATGAATTTGAGCAAATTAAGCTTATAGGTCTTAGCAAGAACACTCCTTCTTCAAACCTCATGGACTGGTGTTACAGAATCACAAACAAAGAACTGTACCAAATAAGAGAACCCACATCACTTGAGGATGTTCAACAACTAAAATGGACAGCAAATATAACTCAAAAGAGAAAATAATGCCATAATAAAGATGGTGGCATTCCACACTACTTCAAACAAAAGGTTAAGAAGAAAACTTCTATCAATACTGGAAAGACCAATAACAGTGAACTTGAGAAACCTGTTTTCTTGAAAAATTGTTTTGATAGAAAAATTTTATAAATTTTAACTGAAAGTAACACTGACTGCTTGGTCAAGGAATAACAATGTTTCCTTATAAGGAAACAGCTAATATTACCATTACTATTAGATTTTATAAGTTAATTTCTTAATAGTAAATGATGTCTGACATAAATCCACAAGAATTTAAAATTACTTGCTTTGATATCCATTTTCATTCAGAGGATTGGTGATTATGGTTCTCCACAACTTTTAGATTTTATTACTGAAAGTAACTGTTGCTCCTTTACTAGCCCTCTGTATTTGTTCTTCCACCCATTCACTCAAACTCATCAAATAGGTTACTTGTTGTTTTCCAGTGCTACTCTTACTTTCAGTATGTCTTGTGAGGGTTAAATTCTTAAAGCCTTCTTTCCTCCTTATGTGGTATAGAAATATCAACCCCTTCTTAGAGAAACTACAAGGAAACTGATAGTATTTTCCTTAAAACTTTGTCATTGCTCACACGGTCTGTCCATGCTTTTCTCATCATCCTTCAAGAAAACCATATTTCTGTTGCTTCAAGTCTCTTCTTTATCTCTGAATAAATTGTCTCCTCTCTTTTTAGAGACATTTTCCTATCCCTTAATACACTGCTTAACTTCTGAAAGGCCTCTCCAAATTTCTACTTGATTTTGACATCCTTGATACCTAACTTGCAATTTGGGTTGTCTCTTTTGCTGACAACTATCTTATTACAGATAATTCTCCTTTCTTCTTGTCATCCTCAACTACATTGTCTAATAGTTCTTACAGTTTTCTTTCTGAATCTTAGATCAGTACAGTTTCATTTGTGTATTTTATGCTGTTAAGGTTATGTCCACTATTAATAATTCCTGGTAAGTCTTCTAGTTCTTGTCAAATTCTCTCTTTGCATAGATTAAATAAATCTGGTGAGAAAAAAATGCATCATTGCCACATATCTCTTTCTATTTTTCTATATTCATTAACTCAATCTCTTTCTACATACAAGCTGTTTATTCGCAGTTACAGATTACACAAAAGATCTTTCCTATGTAGATCAAGCTTTTCTAATATTTCAATCACTTCTTTGTGTCATATCTTATCAAATGTCGCTGTGTGATCGATGAAACATAAGTATAAGCTTTTGCTGCATCTTTCATTTTATTTAAATCAAGTTCACCCCAAGCAAGACAGTAAAAACCACTAAGACACAAAATAGCATTCTGTAAGTAGTACCTTTTTTCTCAGTAGAATCACATCTGTGTTACTTTAAGTCTCTTCATCTGTTCAACATATTCTAACCATAAAAATTACGATTTTTTCTTAGTAAAATCACATCAAGTTACTTTAAGTTTCTTCATCTGTTCAAAATATTCTAATGATAGAAATTATGTTTTTCTTTGTTCTAGCTACTTGAACAAAGCCACAATGTTCTTGCTTCATTTTGAGTCTAATTTTGCTTTGATTTCTCTTCATTAGAATCCTAAAAGATTAATAACATGGATCATCAAGCTGATTATCTGAAGTTTCTCTTACTAACATCTAAATAATATTTATGAATTCAGGTTTTATAAAACCAGTATATAAGAATACTTCTCAAGTAAGCATAGATAACCAGAGTTAGCAAAGTATGGCTCTGCTGATTGACAAGTCTCTAAAACATTTGAACTCATCTTAGTAAAAGGTAAGCTTATAAATATCTTTAATACAAAAATAAAAGAAAATGAAAAAAAAGAAAACATTAAAATAAAAATTATTGCCAAATATGAAAGTTGGTGTTTAAAAGTTTAAATGATTTTTAATTCAAGGATTTTATACAAAGAATAACTATATCTCATTCCTTGTAAGAAAATGCACCAGTACTATAGAAAGGAGATACATTCCATATTGAAACTATCTCATCAATTGCCATTAATGAAAAAAAAATAGCCAACCTAGGGCAATGGTGCTTTAGTCCTCTTCAAAATCAAATTCAACTTTGAATCACACACACACACACACATATCTCAGTGTCTCTTACACTTTTCAAAACAGTCAGAAAAGTCCTCTTTTGAAACTGCCATTAGGTACTTCATCACATTTTCCTTAATCTCATCCACATTATCAACAAAGATTTTGGCTAGGGGTAAATCAAAAATGACAGAGTTTCAATAAAATTTAAACTGACAGACTTGGGTGATTTGATGTTTTACAAAAAATAAAACATAAAAAAACTGCATGTTAAGAATATACTTGGTCATTATGAGTATAAGGGTTACACAGGGCACAAAATCAATCAATATTTAAAAGCTGATTGAGTTACCTTATGGGAGAGTGTTCATGCATGCACAGTAAAATCCACTGATTGTCTACCTCATTACATCAAGGCCATGCAATCAGTACTGAAGATATTAAAAACAATTGAATGCATTCAGGACATACCTTGAAACATAATTACAATAAAACTATACAGTATTTCTGACAATGCATTCTATAGTTTTCTTCAAATTTACAATTCATTAATTTTAGCAAATTGAAGTAAATGATGGCTACTGTTGTACTAAGTGATTTGATTCATAACTTGTAGCATGTGCTATACCATTCTTGGCAACCAGTGTCATGTAAGCAATTCCAAATTATAGATTATAGAATCCTTACTAGAGTTCACTTCACAAAGACTTTGACTTTGATTGTATTCATGGTAATGAAGAAATTAGACATTTCTATACAGGAAATATTCAGCATTCATAGTAAGAAGAATTAATACTATCAGTTAAAATTTATAATATCTTTTTCTCAAGAGTTTTTGAGGAAAGTAGAATTTTCAAGTCTACTATTATCAAATTTTCTAGTATTGCAAGACGTAGTGTAGTAAGTTAATATCTTCATTAAAAGATGGTTTTCTCTTCTAGTTATAGGTTACCAAATTTTGCTATTGGAAGTGTTCAAGTGATGTGGTTTTTGTTATTTGCTAAAGCTCTTTCTGATTTTGTAGTACCAATCTATCATGCCTAATAAAGGATTATCATCATAGATTTAAATGATTAGTTCTTTTGAAAACATTTTAACTACTGGTCTAAGAAAATGGTTGTATGCAAGTGAGAGTTTAGACATTTTTGGAAGAGTTGGTGCTATGGATGACATAAAAATCATCTTTTACATTATCAGTTGTTTTTCATTTTATTATGCTTTGAACTCCCTTACTTTTCAAATCTTCCACTAAAATTTCTGAGAATCAATGTTGACTGATAATTGATGGGTTATAAATTACTAAGAGATGCTTATTTTTTCAACCACCCCTTCCTCTCTATGAAGATGAAGGTAAAAAGGAAAACAGAGCAGCAATTAACTACAACATAAAATAATTTGACCAGAGCATAAGAGTACAGCACACTTAGATCATAAAAAATCCCAAAAAGTAAACATATTCAAAAGTAAATTAGGAGTAATACAAATTTATTATCTTTCAACTACATGGTGATTAATTGACCCAAAAAATGACATATCAAAAAGGATTCTTTTATCTTAGATAAAATCATTTATTTTATTAAGATTGTAAGGAAAAGATATTAACATGTAAACTTTCATTAGGATGAGCTAATTCTGCACAGCATATTGATCAGTCTAAATTTTACAAGCAGATATTTGTAGAAGTACACTGGATTTTGGCTTTATAAAGTAATCAAGAAAAATTCAAGTAAGAAACAAAAGCTGAAAAAAACAATAATCTAAACAATAATGATGGATCAAATTATATAAGTGTGAAAATAATGTGGATCTATTAGCAATATTGCAAATTATAATTTTAAAAGAAAAAAAAGATGAAAAAGTCAAAGACAGTAGAATGAAAACAGAGAGAGAAAAGGGGTAAAAATACAGTGAGAGACAGAGAAAGGGGTAAAAATACATAGAGAGATAGAGAGAGAGAGGGGGGGTAAAATACAGTGAGAGAGAGAGAAAGGGGTAAAAATACAGTAAGAGAGAGAGAGAAAAAGGGGTGAAAATACAGTAAGAGAGAGAGAAAGGGTATGAAATATGGCAAGACAAAGAGAAAGGAGGCAAAAAACCAGTGGAAGAGAGGTAGTGAAAAAATGGCAAGAGTGATGGGAGGAGCAAAGATATATCAAAAGAGATAAAGCATGGGAAAAAAACAGTGAGGTTGAAGGGAGAGCAAAAATATGGTGAGTTAAAGGAGATCAACAACAGAGAAAGAGAACAAAAAAAGAGAGAGAGAGCAAAATAAGAGAGAGATAAAGAGAGCAAAAACAGAGAGATAGAAGAGAGATCCAAACAGAGAGAGATTGAGAGATCCAAACAGAGAGAGATTGAGAGATCCTAACAGAGAGAAAAAGAGAGATAGAGATATCCAAACAGATAGAGAGATCAAAACAGAGATAGAAGAGAATAAAAACAGAGATAGAAGAGATAAAAAACAGAGAGAGATAGAAGAAAACAGAGAGAGAGAGAGGGAGAGAGAGAGAGAAGAGAGCAAAAACAGAGAGAGAGGAGAGGAAAAGCAGAGAGAGGATACTAAAAACAGGCAAAGAGAGCTGAGAAAAAGCAGAGAGAGAATAGCAAAAACAGAGAGATAGAGGATAGCAAGACCAGAGTGAGAGAGAGAGAGAGAGAGAGGATAGTAAGAACAGAGAGGGAGTGTAGAGCAAAAAACAGTGAGAGAGTAGTGCAAAAAAGCAGGAGAAGGAGCAGAGCAAAAACACAGTAATACTGAGGGAGAGGAAAACAAAATCACAAGAGAAGAGAAAAAACAGAGAGAGGAGAGCTAGGTTGAGTAAAGTAAATGGAAACAGAATGAGAATGAGAGAGAGATAATCTATATTTTAAATATTTTTCTTTTCTGAGAAAAACCCAAATACTTCTTTATTCCAAGTAAAAGCTAATGACTTTCTTAATTATGTCCATCACTTGGGTGTTAGGAAATTCTCAGAGCAAAAGACTGACTATGAACAAAGGGACAGATATTAATGACCTTTTACAGAAACACAGGAAGCACATTTCACTCTGTTGGTGCCATTAAGCAGACTTCAAATCACATACCTGATACTCCTTCATTCTTCTTCCAAATGCACAGACATTTCCATCATTCCACATCATTTCCAGGTCACTTGTGCACTTATTAAGATCATAGGATTATATATATATATATATATATATATATGTGATCTTTGGATCATCCTGGTAGCCTTATATCAGACTCAAACCAAACTCAATAGAGATGTCAATCTTTGGTCTCTATAGCATTATGAAAAGATAATAGAGCGAAAACACAAGACTATTAAAAATGCCAGATCCCATCTTAAGTTCTATTTGAATCACTTATTGTTTTCTTTCTCCTTCTTAACATACTTTGTCTTTTTTCCTTTTGACCTGTTACTAACAATGGTATTTGTCACTCCTATGACAGTTTATACAGTGTGTGTGTAGGGGGGGGCGGCCCAACCAAGGATCTTTACAGACAATCTGCTTCTTATCGCTTATGATTTTCAATAAAAGTAGAAAATAAGGTGGTTGGTTGAAGGTTACTTTTTTTTGTTCAGTTAAAAATATACAGAAGTAAACAGAGAGAGAGAGAGAAAGAGAGAAATGTGTCTGAAAGCACAAATAAGATATGAGCTCAAAAATGGCAGTTCTGACAGAGAAATGGACTATAAAAGATAATAAGCAGCTTGAAGTAAAAGAACAAGATAGGGACATTTGTTTGGAGGGGAATAATTCCAGATGATATACTCAAATGGCTACAATAAACTTGAGTAGTAGATATGAAAAGATTCAGATGCAGTGAAATGAGATTTCATAACTTCAATGGCTGAAAAGAATGCAGATTTTAATAAGAAACTTGGCCTTTTGATATCTTTATTGCTCTCTCTCACAAACTATATATATATGTGTGTATGTGTATATATATATATATATATATATATATGGAGAGAGAGAGAGAGAGAGAGACAGAAAGGAAAAATACCTTATTTAATGTTGATGGATTCTTTTTTATTACAACAGCCTCCAGAATTTGGAGTCTTTCTTTGCACTGTAGACTATATAGAACTTTGGTGTAATCTAGTAAAAATTTATCTTACATTAATATCATTTTGAATATTTGTTGATCTATATGTGCACTAAATTTTGATAAATGACAAGTCAACCTATAAGAAATACTCTGAATAATAACTTCTTCGAAATAATTCATCACCTCAAAATCCTAACCTATGTAACAATAACATTATTTACATTGTTCAGACTGTTGTCCTTACCTTTATTGCCATATTCACGATGTTTCAGCCATTGTACGCTCTGACCTTCTTCAGGTGATTGGAATTATGAATAATCTACTCCAGTGAGCAAAATAAATGGTTCAGTTTGAAATTCCAGTCAGCTGAAGAATGGCCAGAATAATTTGAATATGGCAATAAAAATGAGGACAATAGTCAGAACAGTGTAAATAATGTAAATAATTATAATACCTCATCTCAGAAATATAGACAAACAATAACATTGTTTATGAATTCTTGTGTTTTTGGGAGATTGTATCTAACAACCAACAAACAACATTAAATTCTTACATTGGTTACACATGCACCACATTTTCCTCCACACACAAATATATATGTATGCATATGTGTGTGTGTGTGTGTGTGTGTGTGTATATGTGTTTGTTTGTTATTTGTTTTCTTAAAGAACATAGATAGGAGCAAACTCTTTTTTAAATAACATTTTTATTTGTTTATGCAGATAAGTATATTGATTCAATAAATGTTAATATTGTTCAAATATTATTTTTATTGCTTATGGTCATACTCCTGACAGTTATTAAGATCAGAGACCTTAAAATTTAGAGGCAAAATAAAGGAAACAAATAACTTTGGATGTTAGACATTTTCATGACTTAGAATTCATTATCATAGCAGTAAATGGGCAATAATGGAGGTTGCTTTTGATCGATTGATTTTTTTTTTTTTACAGCTTATAAACCAAATATTTTTAGAATGTAAGAATTTTTGGAGATAATAACAATTTAGTTATACAGGACTTACTAATTAACCCATAGCCAGGGGGAGAAGAGGTGAATTCAGACCTTTCCCAGGATATTTGTGCCTAAGTGAATATAACAATGCCAACTGAAATTGAAACTCAGTTCTTTGATTAACAGTTATGAACCATTATCCATTACACACCTACACATCTAAGCTTACACTACCTGGCATTCCCAAACAGCTACCCATCTAGGTATTGACCAGACTCAACATTGCTTAACCTCGGTGATCATATGAGAACCAGTACTTTAATGTGATATGACTATAAGCGAAAGAAAGGTGGAAAGTGTGAGAGAAATCAAATGTGGAAAGGGAGAGAAAAAACAAAGGTGGGAAGAAGAGAGGGGAGTGAAAGAAAAACAAAGGGTGAAAGTTTAAAAAAACAAAGTGGGAGGGAGAGTGAAAGAAAAACAAGAAGGGGCAGGTGAGAGAAAAAACAAAAGGAGGAAGGGAGTGAAAAAAAAAAGAGAAAAGGCTAAAGGGAAAACAGAAAAAGAGGAAAAGGAGAAAAAGGGGAAAAAATCAAAAAATATGAAGGAGAAAACTAGAGATATTGGAAATTCATTTTATAATTCAATTCAAGCCATGAAACAATAAATAAGCCTTGTTGATATCAACAGCTTATTTGCGGGTGTTAAAAAATTTTCTCTTCATCTCACTTACGTTGGTTAGACAATAAGCAATAAATGTGCTTTTCATTGCCTAATCACAGCAAAAAGCAATTAAATATGCATTAATCAATGGTAATTTGAAGTAGTGACCTGCACGTGTTTATTTTGGTCATGTCTTGTTTTAATTTCATTCAACTTGACTTGGTTTATCTTCCTGCTCTTTGCCTTGTTTAATGAGTTAATTCTAACTACAGAATTGAACCATCTTCTTTGCTGTACACTGTTAAGCCAGAAGGTAGAAAAAACAAAACAAATAGAAACTTAAATTCAGTCCCATTTTTGCAGTCTTTGCCTTAGACAGAAATTAGTGAGCAGAAACCGAACTTTACCTTTGACTGCACATTTGTTCTGAGGTCACATCATTTTTCCTGGTCTCTTAACATTTTTTTTTCTGCCATTATAAAACTTATTTTCTTACAACAGCTCGAATAGAATTATTTTCTATCAGGTTATCCAATGAGTAATGCCTGAAATCTGATAGTAAGACTGAATAATATCTTCTTCTTTGTGCCATATCCTGAAGAGACATGAGCAATGGCGGCTCTCCACAACTTCCTATTCTTTGTAAATCTCAGAAATATTCTTTGTCCCACCCACTTCAATGTCCTGTGAGTGTTAAGTTCTCAAAGTTTTTTTTACCTCATTATATGTTCTTAAAATTTCAACTCTTTCTGATTCTAAATATGTCTTGTTTCTAAAATGCTTAAATGAAAGCAAAATATATTAGCATGTATTCAGATAGTTTTAAAAGTTTAATTGGCAATGTTTAACATATATACTTGTAAAAAAAAAAAAAAAAATTAAAGGTGTTTCAAAATTAAGTTTTTTTTTTTTATTGACACTGCTATTACTCTATACTCTATTAGTAATTTTTATTGTTTTGAAGATTTATTTTTAGAATTCTGATGAAATCCCAACATATCAAACAGAAAGTTATATATTCTCTCTTTTCTCTGGAAATGATAATGAATGTACTAAACACTATTTTATTAGATTATTTGCAAGAATAACTTTAAATTTCTAAGTTTATAAAAATATGTCAACCAATTACAGTGCAATATGCTTTTATTTACATTATTATGAAGAAATACCTCTGAAAACAATTTTTTTATACTCTTAAATTTATAAAAAAATGTTTGCAAATAAGAAAATTTAAATAAATACATAATGGTAATTATTTTAAGTGTAGTTTAGATATGGCACAAGGCTTAAAATATGGGGCAACCAGTGAGGATCTAAGTCACTATTCAGTTGTAAATGATCTCGTAAGATAAGCTTACTATTATACCTCATCGAAGTGCCAAAATAAAAACATAATGGCAAGTAACTGTAATTACAAATTTTGATAAAATGCATTTTCCAGACATTTTGTTCTGTTATTCTCACCTCATAAATTCACCAAAATAGGTGGTGAGCATCTTGATTTATACATTTTTTTTTTGAGAATTGGCAACAAAAATGTTAAAGACTTTATTTATTGGTCTGTTTATTTACAAGAACAGCATTTAATACATTTGTTGTCAGTTATCAAGAAAAAAGAATGTATAAATCCAGTTTAATATAAGTACCTCCACAGATTTGCAAAATAAATTTTTAAAATGAAAAATCTTTATTGAAGCTTTTATTTTAGCATTAATTTCAATCTAGTAGATTTCTAATAAGTAAAATACTTTGCTGTATTTTGAAACTAATTTAAATTGACTGGAAGGAATGTTTATTTAGGACTCACTAACCATTGTTGATTTTAGTACCATTTTAGCCATCTGTCATCACAATATAATTCTCTTTATTTAAAAATCTTTCAAAAATAAAATATACTTTTATAAAACTTTATTTGTGGAACATTAGCTGATTTAAACTTTAATTAATTTGATTTGAAACAATATTACTCATTTCAATTTTAAAATATTGTAGAAATACATTTTTTAACATGTTCTAATGTTCTTCTATGGTGGCCATATCTGTAAAATTTAGTTGAAGAATATAATGTGAGCACCTTTTTTATATAGTTTTTTACTACTCAATAATAATCTTAAAAATTTAGGAAAATATCCTCTGTAGTTTAATTTTTTTATTGAATTTTAGGTACTTTGGCTTTAAATTTACTATAGTTATTGCTCTTATTTTCTCATAATGTTGTGTATGGACATTCATATTTACAAAAATCAGCACATTTATACACATACAAAAAAATTAAAAATTCTTTGTAAATATTGGGTGTCACTAAATTGTACTAAGCTTTTCCATTTATGATTAGTAAATATATTTTTTACTTAATAACAATATCAGCTAACTTTTACAAAGTAAGACAGAATGTTAAAGAATCTAGAACTTTATAAATTATTATAATTAAATTTAAAAAAAAATGAAAACAATTCTTGTAGAAATTCATTATTACTCAAAAAAAAAAAAATTTTTCATAAGACCATAGTGTTCATAATATATTTTATTCAAAAAACCAATTCACAGCTTTTCTAATTAAATAATGTCTTAGTTTTATGTCATTTTAAATTTACAATTCTGAGCAGATTTTTGATAAATGAGTCCTGTTTTACAAAAAGAAATTTATGATTTAAATTCTCCCATGAGTTATGTTTTTAACAAATATAAATATTAAGTTCAACAAAATTTAATTTTCTAAATTTCATAAATTAAATAAGTGTGTATGGGGGGGGGAAACAGATGTAAAAAAAATATATTTTTAATGAGAAAACATTTGTAAATAAGTTGTGAAAGTTTAAATAAAATACAACAATTATTTGATTTTTGCCAAAATTTCCAAATTAATGTCTTTTTCGCTGCAAAAAAGATGCTAAAATTTCCCATACTAATCTTTGTCCACTGTACAGATGCAAAAAAAAGAAGATTTTTAACCAAAATTTTGAACATTCTAAAAAATATTAAAAACTCCTTTGGTCCTTCCTCTTAATAATAACCTAATGGTTTTGACAATAAAACTTTGGTTTTATTAAGTTTGAGGCATTTTTTCATCATGGTATGCTACTTTATTAGCAAATCAGCAGTGGTAACAAGTTTAATATGTTTAGATTCTATTAAAATTCAAAAAACAGTTTTTTAAAACAATAAAAATTGGTGCAGTAATTAAACAACATTTTTGTGGGTACATATGTTAAATTTTGACATTTAATATATGTTTTCACAGTCAGATTCAACTAATTTAGTTGATTTTTCTAAAGGTAGATGTATTGAAAGAATTAAGGATCTATTAGTTGAAAGAAAAAAAAATGGAAGAATACTACAGAACAACCGGAAAAACTCACAGTGTTTATGAAATAATATCTTTTTAAATGAAGCAAATTGCCAAAGTTGGTTATAAGGTTTAGAAAAGGTGATTTTAATTTTTTTAAAAAATGTACCACAAATGGACATCCTACTGGGTTTAACAGGTATTCATTCTTGTTTTTTTTAATTGGTTTTTGTAAAATCATAGAAAACACATTTTCCAGATTTAGGCACTTTTCCCAATTATTACAAATGATGAGCTGTTGAATGCTTTGAGTTCAATTCTTGAACATAATTATTTCCATCAACATCAAAACAAATCTCTCAACTGAACAGATTTCAGAACCACATGGTTATATTAGCAACGACAACAAGGGAACACACTTGTGTTCAGCTTAAAGTGCACAATCCATAAACAAAGAGGGTTTTCCTTTTTTACAGAAAAATATTGGTAAACAGAATTTTTTTTTGATTCCTTCAGAAACCTTGTGAATCATATGGCCACAATCATACAAAGTCATGCTGCTATTATTTTAGTAGCAAGTGAAATTTTATATGGCCAAATTGGATGCTGATGCCCAAGTTGAACTACTTCACAGAGCTAAAGAGTTCCAACTGGGCTATCTAACCAGAGCTGGAGGAATGATCTAACACATCAGTGGAAAATGTCCCAGCCAGAATTTGAACTTGGTTTACTTACTCATTCTCAAGGGATCATAAGGCTATCTGTACTTAAAACCAAAGTGTTGAACCAACTTGACTTAGCAATATGAATCTCATAGATAATACTATTTTTAGCAACCATTGTCTTGCAAGTGATTCCATATTCATACAGTGAGATGCTTTCTAATTCTACCCTAGCTGAACAAAAAAATCTTTGTTGATGCTATCACAATATTTTGGCCATTGTGCCTTCCAACCTTCACCAATTGCTAATCAATCTAGAGGTACACTTCAGGAAATTCTGAACTAAATCTTTTATCTAGTCTAGGAGATTAGACTGTTCTTGTTCTACTATGTCAGGGGGTATCTCATCTAGTTTGCACTGAATTCAAGTATAGACTGCCAAGCCCAGGGACTGAAATACAATTGTTATATCACCAAATTCCCAAACCAATGCTTTAATCCACAAGGCTATTGTCCTCTGGGACAACCTGAGTAGAGAACTCAGAGCCTTAAACCTAATCTTTCTGCTTATGAGTGCTGCTGCTGCTGCAGCTGCTATTTGTTATGCTTGATTGCATTCACCAAGGCTTCTCTTTTCTATTGTAGCTGCTGTTGAAGTCTTGCTGTCATTTTTCTAGATGAGATATCCGTAGACATGATAAGGAGAACAAAATCAATCTATACCTGTAAAGTAAATAAAAATTTAAGTTTGAATTTCTCTTAAGGTTACACAGAAAAACAAGCACCTGAGAAAAGCAGAAGGGAACAACAGTCAAAACATTCTTATGACAACAACAAAGATGAGAACAATAGTATGCACAATTCCAATAGTTCCTACAAATGAAAAATATGGCCAGTAATTCCTACAAATGAAGAATAAGGCCAATAATTCCTACAAATGAAGAATATGGCCAGTAATTTCTACAAATGAAGAATATGGCCAATAATTCCTACAAATGAAGAATATGGCCAGTAATTTCTACAAATGAAGAATATGGCCAATAATTCCTACAAATGAAGAATATGGCCAATAATTCCTACAAATGAAGAATGTGGCCAGTAATTCCTACAAATGAAGAATATGGCCAGTAATTCCTACAAATGAAGAATATGGCCAGTAATTCCTACAAATGAAGAATATGGCCAATAATTTCTACAAATGAAGAATATGGCCAATAATTCCTACAAATGAAAAATATGGCCAGTAATTCCTACAAATGAAATATATGGCCAGTAATTCCTACAAATTCATACAGAAAGAAACTCTATGCTGAAATTCATGCTGGCCTATTTTAAAGCAAAATTCAAAATGAGATCCACTCTCTAACTCTTGTATTTCTGTTTGAAAGAATCAGCTTTTAATCAGATGTTCTTCCTTTTAAGACATTTAATGTTGTCATACTTTCTGTACATTACCATGAGTTCTTAAAAATT